CTGTCTGGGTTGAATATTGTGTGCGCTAGGGAGAATAAATTATTTTTTTCGAAATTTTTGATTTTTCCTTGACAACGCTATCTAAATTGATCCGAATCAAGTTCGCTATAATTTTCCTGTAATTTTCACGTAAAAATACGTAAGTGTGTCAAATTTGAGCTCTTTATGTCAAAAGATGTGGCCGCTAGGGGGGGGTACATAGTCATTTTTAGGCATTTTTCGTAAAAATTCATGGTTTTTCCTTGACAACGCTATGTTAATCAATTCCAATCAAGTTCGCTATAATTTTCCTGTAATCTACACGCGAAAATACATATGTGTACTAATTTTCAGCCCTCCAGATAAATTTATGTGGCCGCTAGGGGGGGGGGTACACGATTTCAAAAAAACCGATATTAATAGGGTTCCGAACCGAGTACGGAACCCTAAAAATGAAAAATTTTCTAAGTAAAGAAAATGATAAAAAGATAAATCTAGCAATTAAAGAGAAGGGAAGAAAAAGGTAGGCAAGGCGCGAAGTTACATATGAGCAGAAAATAATAAGACAGGAGAATGAGAGATTGAGAAAACGTAATCGTAATAAAACAGAAATAAAAAAGAAAGAGCGCAAAAAAAATTTAACATGCAAAAAAAAGAAATTATCTATAAAAACTGAAGATGGAAAGAAAATACGCAAGGATAAAAATTTGGCATTTAGGAAAAGGAAAATATCAATGGATACTCAAGATGAAAAGAAAGTCCGTCAAGAAAATAATTTGTCATGTAAGAAGAAAAAATTTTCTACGGCAACGGAAGATGAAAAGAATGTGTGAAGAAAAGAATTTGACATGTAAAAACGATAATCGGAATAAAAAAAAGTGCAGGAGTTGCAATAATGTCTTTTGAAGATTTCGATGAAAGTAAAGTTCCACAGAATTATTTAGGTTTAATAAATGTAGAATGTAAGTTTTGTAATGGGTTACATTTTTTGTGTGAAAGACCGTCACATAGATACATCACCGAGGAATGTCCCCGTGAAGAAGACATTATGATATCGCCTGAATGTCACAAAAATATTCCCGGTTGATATCAGCTTGACATTCAAGCAATATTCCGTGCTACTTGGGTGGTAGATCCAATATAAAGAAATTTTTTTTTACATTTCTAATATTTAATTTTTTTGAAAAAAAATGAATAAAAAATATGGTTAATGCACACTAGCAACGAAGTCGGCCGCTTGCGGACGACAAAGTTGCTAGTATTATTTAAATCGGAAACTCAAAATTTTAAAAACTACAAATGGGATGATCATCTAGCAAGGAGCTTGCGTGGGTCGTCCCACGATTTAAATGAAAATATTTTTTAAATCGGCAACTCAAAATCTCAGATTATAGTAAAATGCGTTTTTAATTGAAAAAGTTTTCGGAATACAAAAGAGATGATCCATGAGGGCTCTCGCATGGAGCCCACGTGGGTCGTCCCTCGATTTTAATGAAATAATCTTTCAAATAAAAATTTAAAAACAATTTTTAAATTAAAAAAATTAATTTAAAATTATTAAACGTAATGGCAGAGACGATGACTGCATTATGGATCATTTTTCCACACAAGTTAATATATAATATTTTCTTAACATAAATAGGTTAGGTGAGATGTAAGATTGGTTTGTAATAAAATTAAAAAATTTATTACACCTCCTCGTGGTGCATCTTGGAAACAAATTCTTTGAAAAATATAATTTGTTTATTTAATTCAATTAAATTAATAACTAAGGAAATATTTTTCATTAAATTTGGCTAAAAACCAATCTAAAAATACGACTTAAAATATTATATTACTAATTTGTATTATATTTTCATTACAGGTTATATGGAAATTCAGAAAATATTAAAATAATTCTAAAATTTGCCAGAAAACAATGGGGGTTGGCGCGCGAAGCGCGCAGGGGGCATGGCCCTCTAGTATATACATATATATATATATATTACGGTCATTGTTGACAATGTCCACTGTCACTGGGCATTGTCGACATTGCCCTAGTATTTTTAACAAACTTTAGTAAAATGTGACAGTGCTCGGGCAATGTCGACAATGCGCACTTACTTTTGGGAAATGTCGACATTTCCCACATACATAAAAAAGGCGATAAATTACAAAACATATATTTATTTATTACACGTACAAGAATATAATTTATTTATTTTTGCTTTAGTCTTCGTCATAAAAGAGAATATAAAATAACTTTCATTTTATCCAATTTTTGGTTGACGATAACTAAAATCTATTAATATTATAATATACAAAATTTATTTTTACATTGAAAACAAAGGTTTTTAATATCTTTGTATGTATCAAACAGAAAGGTTTGATTTTATCAAAACATACAATTAATAACACAGGAAAGTTACACAGACCTTATTTTTTACAATATAATGTACTAGCTGCCGATAATTTATGAACTGACGATTACTAGTGCATTTATCTTATAGAGTAATTGATTGTCGAAAGTTTGTTTACGTCATTGTGTAAAAGAAACTTTTTATCAGAACCAGAGAGCAAGGTGTGTGTCATATGTCTAACATAACCTTATTTATATGTGGATAGGGCAAATTAAAGTTAAATACTGAAAATTTGAACTAAAATGTATCCTTAAATATTTATGTATTTTATTTAAATATTATTTTTTATTTACTTCGGTTTAAATAAAACATAAAAACTATAGTAATTTTCATTAAGGGGTTACGCCACCCTGAAATTTTCAAAAAAATGGTTTTTTTTGCTTAATTTCAAAAATTTATATTCTTACGAATATTTTGAGATGTCTCTGAAGACAATGTCTCACTAATTACAAAACTTATAATCTTTAGAAGTCAGCGGGTTAGGACGCCCCCAGAGCTGCTAGAAGCCGTCTGGCGCCTCCTTAACGACTTTCCATTTTCAGATCAGAGGACATTCTTTCCATTCTAGGAGAAGAGTATTATGGCCCAGGAATTGCTGATTAAATAGCAAGTTAAAAAATTTTCAAGTTATAATACACTAAAGTATATTTTTTTCTTCTTTTGCGTTTTTCTCGAAACCACATTCTTCGAGACGGTGTACACGATAACTCAAAAACAATTCAACCGATAGACTTGCAAATTAATATACATCTTCCTAAATAGATTTTCCACAAAGTGACGTGGGATTTTTTTCGATTGAATGATTTGAAAATTTTTTATTCAATTTTTTATACGGTACTTTTAGCCCAAAAAAAAGTCAATTTTTGAAGTGCTTCCATTTGCGTAAAAAATTTTTTTTTTTAAATGGCTTCGTCACTCTGTTCAAAATTTGTCACTTTTTAAGAAAAATATTGTTTTACTTGTTTCAGACAAAAATTGAACTGCCAAACAGGTACACTATCAAGGAGTGCTCCGGAAAAATTGATCCACGCCAATACTTATATCTCCGCCATTTTTAATTAAAAACCATTTTTTTAAATATTTATAAAGCTTAATATATGTATTAAAGCATCAATAAATGTAAATAAGTCCTACCTCTAACAGTTTTGTCAAATAAATTCCTAAAAATCGATCCGATTTTCATGCGTTCAGGGTGGCGTAACCCCTTAATTAATATATCTACAATATACCTAAAAAATACATACCTCATCAGAGGTTTGTGTAAATTCATTGACACCTTTTAATTCTTTCTATAAATTGTTGACGTCACACTGAACAAACGGTTCCTGTGTTGGAAATGTTAAGGATCCTTCACTAATCCTGTGCAGGATCCTGATAGGATCTTGCGTAGGATATTGGAACAGCGATTCTGTACAGTTGCATGAACATTAGTTACAAAGGTTCCGTTACAGATTCCTGTACAAGAAAATTTATTAAAAATAATGTCAAGCAAAGGTTCTTACACAAGAACACTCGCATGATCTTGTACAGGAAAATATTTTACTTTCTTCTTATGCCAAGGAACACTTGTATCAACCATAAAAGGATCCCACGCAAGATCTAGGGTGTATTTTTTTAAATACAATAAAATTATTTTTTAATTTTGTGATGAATATATATTGATGCACTTAATTAAAAAAATCCATTGCGCAGACGTAGGAGCCATAAAAACTTATTGCGCAACAGGTAAAGTTGTTAACATTCAGAAACAAAGGTCCCTGCATAGGCTCCTGCGGAGGTTCATTTACAGGAATTTTTATTTAAAAATTTGTTTTAAACTTTTAGACAAAGGAACCTGCAAAGAAACCCCAGTAACTAATATTCCTGTACAGAATTCTGTGAGGAATTCCTGTTTCAATATCCTCCACAAGATCCTGGCAGGAGCCTGTAGATGAATTTTTAGCTGCGTTTAGCTTTGTAAATTATATTTTATTAAGCACTATGTACTTTTCTATATAGTGTAAGTGTGACATAACAAAATAAGAAGTCCCGTCCTCTCTCTTTGTCACATTTTACTAAACACCCTGTACTCCTAAAACATGTGACGTAAACTGTAGACGAAGCCACATCCATATGATGTCCCACAGATATTCGTAGATATTCCAGAGATATTCTAATTTCTGTATACGGCTAGGACGTCTATAGGATATTATGTAATATCTGTTGCCGTCAGGAATGAACTTAAATACCAAGAAACAAGTGTCTAATCTTTTATATTTTACACATGAAATCCGATAACTGTAATAATTCGAGTACTGTATATTAGTTACTATTTTTTTAGGCGTTAGAATTGTGTTTTGTAAATATGATTGGTCTGATAGTTTATACCTATAGGCTAAAGGACCAATCATTCATGGTAAGAATAAATAATTTAAAGTTTTTGTATTGTTTTGCGAATTATATATAGTTTTTATTTTAAATTTAACTAAATTTCATAAAAAAATAGTAAAATTTTATATTATAAACAATTAATTAATTATAGGATAACGATAATACAGTTGTATGTCATTGTTTTGTATCTTGCTTTAATAATACGATAGAGAACTAGAAAAACAAAGTTATCCAGTGTCCACACATGCGGCAAAAATTTTTAATAAATTTTATTACAAAGCAAGTGCATGTTTATAAGGTTTTTACATAATAAGAAAAATGTTTATTTTTTAAACGTATGAATTAAACTTTTAATTTTAACACCTTTACATATACGTATTATTGTATCTATTATTTTCCTTTAATTCGAAAGAATGTTAAGTATTCGAAACCACATATCATTATAGAAATAAAAATTCCGGTTATTAATAAAATTAATGCAAATGCTACTTCATATATTGTGACGCTGCTAATAGACATGAGATCCTTTCTGCAAAGAGGTTTCCGCGCTGTCCACCTTTTTACTTGTCTTTGTCGTATTCCAACTTCGAACATCTTAAGGAGTCTGTAAATTAAAAAATAAATTCTAAATATTCTATAAAAATATATTATTATAATAGTCTAAGATTCCACTGCAGGATTTATACATTCACAAATTTTATAGATAAAAACTGTCTTAAATGAGAGGTTTTATCATCCCGTTGACAAAACCCTTAGGGTGCCTAACTTTTTGTGATCCATTTCATAGATAGGGGAATGTATCCATGAGTGGAACACCTTTTTATTCACTCAGATAATTTTTTACAGTAAAGGAAATTTAAAAACTAAAATATATCGTTGGATAAGTATTGTCTTCATCTATAAGTTATATATATTGAGATTTTTTTCCAGCTTCAAGGAAAAATTTTTAGATCCATTTTCTGAAGTGATACAAACGGTCGTCTACTCATGGAAATGTAAGCTTTTTTAAAGCTATCATATTAACATTTTTTCTTACATTTGAATAATTAAAAATTCTTCTTGTATGATAAAAATAAATATATAAGTAGTAAAAAAATTTAAACTGATTATAAAAGAGTAAAAATTAAATATCTTTTTTAATCTCAGAAAAAATAATCACAAAACTTTCACGACATTTCTTAACACCTTTTTTCGTGCGGTTGTATTAAACACAAAAATGCGTCGATTTACAGTAGAATCCCGCTTACCGCCGGTTGTTCGAGATCGGAGAACCCAGGTACCGCCGGTTGACAAACAGCGCCCCCTTAGCCAAAACATAGGTCCGTATTATACTGAGCGCATACATAATAATTTGGGGCATATTATTATGTACTACAAATACTACTAATATATTATATAACATAATATAATATGAACCATTAAAATAAAATTATAATAACGAAATTATTTGTATATTATAATGTTTATAATATGTACAGTAGTAGCAGAAATATTTTATAAGTAATAGTTGCCCACACTAGATTTCATTGATACGACTATGGGCTAAGAGAGAGCGATCGGCGGTATGTGGGGTTTAGTGACCGGTGGCAAGTGGGGTCCGGCGGTAAGCGGGGTTTTACTGTACTTGGGTATTACAAAAAATATGTTTTTACGGTGTTAATTACACAAGCCTGCAAAAAAAAATTTCCGTTGTCAGAGATCGGAAAGTCATTTCCCGTAGTTTTTGGTGCCCTGAATCCGAATCTGGAAACGAAAACCTTCCATCACGTCCGGATTTCGATAAAAGTGGGGGTATAATTCCCAAAAATCACGTTTTTTTCAGTTTTTGAAAATTTCTACCGGGTAAATCTGACGTGCTAGAGACTTGTCATAGGAGTCAAATTAAAGCTTGGACCCTGTACTTTACGACAATATAGCGATATTGACAACAACAAAATAAATCAGCTGTTAAAAATGGTTTTTAAGTTTTCAAGCATAAAAATTGACTCACACTGTTCGTAAATACAACTATTTTAAAAAATCGGACAAGTGCGAGTTACACTCGCATTAACATAATCTAGGCATAAATTTGAAAATAATGTGAGCACATAGATTTAAAAATAAATTAATAAAACTAAAAAATAATAAAAATATCAACAAATAAAAAATAATAAAAATCGGACAAGTGCGAGTTACACTCGCATTAAAACCGAGGGCTCCGTACCCTTAAACCTAAAATTTAAGGGGTTAAAGTGTGAAGGCATGTGGAAAAATTCCAATTTTGCTTAATTTTTTCTGTAATATGAGCATAAAAACACATAGATAGACACATAGTCACATATAACGAAAATTATCAGTTTTTCCTTAAAAACGCTATGATTATCAACTCCAATCGTTCTCGCTATATTTTTTTTGTAATCTATACGTAAAAATACGTAAAAATGTATAAGTTTGAATTCCTTAAGATAAAATTTTCTTCTTTTTTTATTCGAAAAATCCATGATTTTTTCTAAAAATATGAGTTTTCCTTAAAAACAATATGATCATCAACTCCAATCGTGCTCGCTATATTTTTCCTGTAATCTACACGCAAAAATACGTAAGTATACCAAATATGAACTGTCTTGGTCAAATAGTGTGTGCGCTAGGTGGATTAAACGCTTTTTTTCAAAATTTTTGATTTTTCCTTGACAACGCTATGTAAATTGATCCGAATCATGTTCGCTATATTTTTCCTGTAATTTTCACGTAAAAATACATAAGTGTACTAAATTTGAGCTTTCTATGTAAAAAGATGTGGCAACCAGGGGGGAGGGTACATAGTCATTTTCAGGGATTTTTCATAAAAATTCATGGTTTTTCCTTGACATCGCTATGATAATTAATTCCTATGAGATTCACTATATTTTTGCTGTAATCTACACGCCAAAATACATATGTATACTAAATTTCAGCCCTCTAGATAAATTCGTGTGGCCGCTAGAGGGGGGTACATGCCTTGCTTCACTAGTCTCATTAATAGGGTTCCCCCTTCGGGTACGGAACCCTAAAAATACTTAGATTCGCTTGGAACTTGTCACTCAGGGGTTTTTGAGGTCGCGGATTACAGATATGAAGTCAGATTTTCAAAATGGCGGATCCAATATGTTGGATTGCATCGATTTTTAAAAAAGTCGTCAGCCATATTCGATCTGCTATTTTGAATTTTAAAAATCTGACATCATATCCGTAATCTGCGACCTGGAAACCCCCGAGTGACAAATATGTTGTATTGCATCGATTTTTAAAAAAGTAGTCAGCCATATTGGATCCGCCATTTTGAATTTTAAAAATCTGACATTATATCCGTAATCCGCGACCTCAAAACCCCCCGAGTGACAAATTCCAAGCAAATACAAGAATTTTTTAAAATAGTTTAATTTACGAACAGTGTGAGTCAATTTTTATGCTTGACAACTTAAAAAACCATTTTTGACACACTGAGAGAAGGAAAGCACGGAATCCGGCGTTCGTCACAGTACGGATTCTGTGCCTTACTTCTCTCAGTGCAGCCAAATGCCTTTTTTGTTGTTAATATCGCTAAATCGTCCCCTACTGAAAATCCCTGTACAAGATTTTATACAATTTCCTGTACAGGATCAGCAACTGAACTTGTACAAGTTCTGACCAGTTCCTGTATAGGAAAATGCATACGAATTTGGAACAAATTCATGTGTGAGATCTTGTACAATATCTGGTGCAAGATCTTGTACAAGAAAGATACTTGTACAAGAAAATATACATGATCTTGTACAATTTCATGTATAAGTACTTGTACATGAACACGTCCATGTTCTTGCACATGTTAATTCATGTTTTCCTTTATTAAAAATTAAAAACTTCAAAGGCTGCGCAATAGTTTACTTTAACCTTTACAGCTGCGCAATAGTTTTTAGCATGCATGAGTTACGAATCTTAGTGGTTAAAAATTATCAAAATCTCAAATTTTATTTAAAAAATTTTTTTACAACTATACATGTGCAAGAACATGAACGTGTTCATGTACAAGTACTTATACATGAAATTGTACAAGATCATGTACATTTTCTTGTACAAGTATCTTTCTTGTACAAGATCTTGCACCAGATCTTGTACAAGATCTCACACATGAACTTGTTCCAAATTCGTATGCATTTTCCTATACAGGAACTGGTCAGAACTTGTACAAGTTCAGTTGCTGATCCTGTACAAGAAATTGGACAAGATCTTATACAGGGATTTTCAGTAGGGTCGTAAAGTACAGGGTTCAAGCTTTAACTTGACTCCTATGACAAGTTTCTAGCACGTCGGATTATGTTATGTTTGATGTATGATCTTTAATCTTGGAGATCTAAGACCTTGAATTTTGAGGTTATGTTCATTTTAAACAGTGCTGGATTTGTCGTAGGGCAAAAAGGGCAACTGCCATAGAGCCACTAATTTTCACTTGTTGCAACAAAAGATTATACTTATACGAAGGTGTATAAATGCTCCATAAATGTGAATCAGTTTTTATATGTAGTTTGAATAGTAATTGGCTTGCAGTTGGACAATTTTTTAAATCTGTTCAGCTGTTTGAAAAAAAAATTGATTTTAGGGCGAAATTTTTTTGAAAAATATATTGAAGTTTCGATGCTTCTTGTAAAAGCTTTCTACAAGCATTCCCTCTAAAAATCTCCCCATGATAACTTTTCGGTATTAATTTTAACTTTTTCGGCTATAACAAAGCTTTTTCTCTTCTTAACAAGGGAACCAAGCAATTCCAGAATAAATGATTCACAAACCCTTGCAATGTATGCAATTCTGGAACAATACATTTCTTAATTACATTAGTATCATCTTCTTCAGTGAAAAGAGGAAGGTTAACAGTACTATGACATTCTTTAGCAAGTTTCTTTTTCTTCCCTTTCGAAATGAACACTGTATAATCTTTTCTCTAATCACCGTAAGTTTTCAAAGACAAATTATTTTCTTGATTTTCATCAACTTGTGCATCAAGTATTTCGTTCGAATTTTGCAGAATATCAAAAGTTACAAAGCAATATGGACACGGGCATGTAGCAGTAGCAGTTTGCTGACCATTGATTATTAGCAAAAGTTTAAAATCCGCAACAAATTTAAAAGGTATATTATTTAATTTTGTTAGATCAATCAAAGTTTTAACAGTTTCGTATGATTCTTTTATACGAGGTACGACACATAATAATATGTGCTAGAAGAATTGTCATTGAAAATTATAAAGAACCCTGTCCACCATCCGTTATTACCTTTATTTTAATATTTCCAATTTGATTCCCAGGCGGATCGACGAAATGGAATGTGCTGCGAATTCGTGGGACATTCGTAGATCATTCACTTTGAGTGAAAATATTGTAGAAAATCAGTGGAAAGAGTTAAAAAGTATTATTGAATTAAATAAATAAACTATTTAGTGATTGATTTATACACTACTTTTACTAACTTAATGTTTTATTATTACATAAATAAAGTTTAAAGTGTATGATGTTTGGATAAGAGTGTTTGATATGCTAGGGAGTTTTGCAGTGACATTTCAATTCATCGTTTTGCACCGTAGATTTTAGCAGTCATAGTTTCTTACATTTAAAA